TATTTGTTCTGCACTGACGAGGCTCAAACTCTCACTGAATTAGTGCAGTGAGATTTATTTCCTCCAAATTTTGAACGACTTAAGAGAGATTGGGGTGGAGGGGGCGGTCACAAGGGAGGCGACATGGGGGGAGAAGAGTGGCGAAGGGATCTGGGAGGGAGAAGGTGAGCTCTTATGGAGGTCAAATGTCCTCAGCTCTTTGGAAATAAAGTGTAATGACCATCTCTCATATCTTGTTCATCATCTTCTGGGCACTGGGGACCAAGTTTCCACATTCCTGCTCCTTGGCCCTAAGGATATGGATCCACAGTGTTAGGGATCTGGGCAGCAAGAAGAAAAACTCCTTAAAAACCATTTCTCTGTTGGACAAACTGAAGCTCAGGGAAGGTCAAGATCCCACATCTAACTGGAAAGCCTTCTCCCCATTCCATCCCTGGCTCAGACATGTCCCATTCATGTCCCAGGTGTCATGGGCCCCCAAGCCTTCAGCTAAGGTTGCTGGAAAAAAGGCTCCTCGAGGGCAGCTGCTGGCCTCCTCTCCTGCTTTATGGAGTGGTGGTAGAAGGTAGCTTAGAAAATTTAGGTCAGTCCTTAGGCAGGGTACAGGCTGGGCAACTGGGGAAGGGCAGGTGACTCTCCTGTAACTGGGCCGGAACATCCTTAGAGAAGACCGGGACCATGCTTCAGCCATAAAACCCACAGAGTCCCTGGGAAACTGAGCCTGTCTCGCAGGGGGTGGTGCAGTGTCTCAGTGGCCCCTGCAGTTAAGGTAGCAGGTAATGTCTGGGCTTATCAAGTGATCCAAGTAGATAGTGCATGGCCAGGCAGGCAGCCATGGTTCACAGGTAAAGCTGTGGGTTCACGCTGATGCCATCTGAGCTCAATGAGACTGACAAGGCTCCTAGATTGGGAGGGAGGAAGCACACACAGGAGTGTGGGGAGGCTGGAGTATGAAAAGGAAGGATGTGGCAGCTGACAGTGCTGCTCACTGCCCTTCCACCCTGACTGCCCAATCCTCAGGTAGGGGGTAGGGTTAAAAAGAGGGAGCCAGGCCAGTACCCATGAAGTCCACCCTGTGCTCCATGGACTCTTAACGAGCATAGAGAGAAGGACGGGCAGCATGTTCCCTTCTTCTGAGATACCAGGAGCTATGGAAAACATTCCCAGATGTGCTCCCCACACACCAATGCTGGGGAGACCTGACACCTGGAAGCAAAAGAGGTGTTAAAACAGACCCATGCTGTGGCTCTGCACAGGAGGTACATGTCGTTCCCCAGGGTATGGGACAGTGCCTTCCACCCCTCCCCGTACCCTGCAAGCCCAGCTGTCTGAAGTCTATAAGGCACCTCACAATTTGACTCCTACTGCCTTTTCAACCTCCTCTTCCTCCACTCCCCTGTCTACCTGGCTCCAGCCATACGCAGCTAGATTTTGTTCCAGAAACATGCAAGCTCACTGCTATCTCAAGTGCTTTGCTTTTTTTCCTGCTGAAACGCCTCTCTCTCGGCTCTTTGCGTAACTGTGCCTCATCATTCAAGGCTTAACTTAAATGTCACCTCCTCAGAGAGGCCGTTGCTGACCACTCTAAGAAAAACTGCTTCTCCCTACAGGGCAAGGACAGAAGCAGAGAAGACTACCCTCCTCTCCTCGTCCCAACCCTAGTGCTGGTAGCTAGGGGACTCAGTCACTGAAGATTCCTCTTCCCCACCCCACACGCCACTCATGCTGTGTATACAGAACACACCATCCCCGCACACATATTGCATACAGACAATACAGAGTACATGCACACACTGGGTTTACAGCACACAAAATCAGCACTGCCAGCTGCATACACACAACCCATATGTGCGTATGGACTGCATAAACACAACACTACGTGCACACACAACGAAAATACACAGGACAACACATAACACTTGCTCTTGTCAACAGCATGCATACAATCCAGTGCATGTGTGTGCACATGCACACACACATGCACACACATGCACACACCTCGTCCCCTCCCTTGAACCAGTGAGAGAGGAATGTGCGGTGACCGCGGCTGCCGCGGGGTTAGGGTGGGGGCTGCACCCCCACCACCTGGCACGATGCTGCGGATTATTAGTTCCTGGTAATTTAGTGCCCTTGTACAGAGTCGATTTGTGCCTTTCATTCCTAATTGATCTAGTGGCTGTTTAAATGGCAGCAGGCATCTGTTGAGAGTAGGAAGGTTCATAAGGCGCAATAATTCATAACACCGTCTGGAATTTGCCTTTCATGTCCCTCAGCTAAACCACTGCAGGGCTCTGCTTAAATTACAGCCACTGAGGCTTTCTTTGGTATTCCACTCAGGGCCAGGAGAATCTTGCATTAAACTGGGATCAGGTTAGATTAGACTATAATATGCTGCAGTATTAGTGGCTGCAAATGAAGACTTATACTGGAGTTTAACCCCTTCACCTGGTTTTCTCTTTGTCTTCAGCTGAATAGCTGAGCTAACCCATTGTTTTCCCTACCAGCTTTCTCCTGCGGCTCAATAGGTCTTCTGGAAATTGGGGGCTGCAGAGAAGCCACCCTTAAATATTGACCCTTTTTCTGGCAGACTGCACACCCAGCCTGCAGCCCTGGGGCCCAGCAGTTTATGCATCAGCTTCCAGAACCAGGGTCAGGGAGATAGTATGGGGAGGGGTTGTGGGGGAGGTCTGCCAAGCCCAGCAGCTCATCTGAAGCAGGAATTTATCTCCCTTTATCCCCCATAACCCCTGGGCTGGGTAGAAAGACCCATAAAGTGTGGGTGTGGATGTGGATAGGGTAAGCACTTTCCATCCTTTTGCCCAGAATTATTAGAATTTCAAGATAGGACAGGCTCACTGGGGCTCTCCCCCAACCACTCACAAATGCAGTGTAGACAGGTGTTCAGTCCTTCTCGGTGTGTTCAGTCATAGTGTGCTGGAAGGCTAAAGCACGGTCTGCTTTCCTTTTCAAGACTTACTGTATTCTTCAATGTGGTAACCACTAGCCATGTGTGGCTATGTAAATTTTTTTTTGAGAGTTTTAGAAATCAGTTGCTTTATTAGTTACATGTTAAGGAGAAAATGAGCCTAGACTGTTAATATCTTGATGCATCTTCATAGTATGAACACTTACAAGGCATAAGTGTAAATTTTGTTTTGAGTTGGAGTCTCACTCTGTCACCCAGGCAGAATGCAGCAGTATGCTCCCAGCCACTGCAGCCTCGACCTGCTGGGATCAGGTGATCATTTCTGGCTGGGGTTTCTGGACTCACGACCTGCTGTTGGCCCAAGGGGACTCCTTAATGCTGTGACGTAGCTGCCGTTTAACCATCTCCTGGCTTCCAGGTGTCCTGGTGTCCTCCCCACGGACTCCCAGGACCTGCAGGTCACAAGGCAACAGAGGCTAAAGGGAAGATATGCAACACGCGTGGGTATCAGAAAGCAGGACAAAGCTGAGAGGATGACCCAGCTCTGTGGCTATGTAAATTTGAATGAATTAAAATTAAATAAAATTAAAAGTTGAGTATCCTAGTTATGAGACCAAGTGTCCATTGGCCTCATGTGGTTAGTGGCTACCATACTGGGCAGTGGAGATTGCAGAACATTCTTATCATTGCAGCAGGCTCTATTACACAGTGCTGACTTGAGCATCCCCTTGGGCAGAGGCCTGGGGGCCAGGTCCAGCACACGTTCCTTCTCCTCACCCAGCAAGCAAGTCTCAGTCAAAAAGAAAGGAGTTAGATTCTGTGGTCTCAAGAGCCTGAAGAGACAGACTGGAGAGGGATGTGCTATGCTTTTTGAAAACACAGTGGAAGGGAATGGAACTCTCCAGAGTTCAGTGTCAACAGCCCACACACACACACACACACACACACACACACGCAAGCACACGACAGAAATAGATGTGCTGTGCACTTATACGTGCCAATAAGCACACACATACGACATATATATTGAGATCCACACACCTCTGCTAGACTTTGGACATGCAGTGATGAATAAGGTTGGCTTGATCCCTGCCCTCATGTAGCTCACCACCTAGTGAAGAAGGCAAATAACAAACAAACTCAGGGCATTGGTGTAGGTTTAGTGCTGGGTGCATTCTGGAAAACTTTCAAGAGTGGGTGATATCCAAGCTAATTCCCTAGAGCCATTTAGGAAGGCAATTTGGCGTCATGTCCATATGTCATAGGACCTCCCCTGTCCCATGCACATGCACACTCACAGTCCATTCATTGATTCAGTCACCAAATATTTATTATGTTCCTACCATAAGCATGTGTGACAAAGTGTTAGGGATACCACAATCATTAAGTGGTAGCGTCATAGAGGAAAACAATGAACAAATAGTGATGCAAGTAATCATTTAATTACAGTTGTGCAAAGGGTGTGATGATGGAAAAGTGTGGGGAAAATGTTATGCATGTGATTGGGGTGTGTAACCCAAACTAAGTCTGCTAACAGATTCAGGACAGGTGGAGACATCTGCCCGCCACGTGTGGACGTATCCAGTCTCACGCATATGTCCCGGCATGCACTTGCAGACACACAAGTGTTTGTATACATCTGTCGCCCTTCACTGGCTCCAGTTAGCCAAGAGCAGGTCTGTCACCTACCACTAACATTCACATCCATGACTTGTCTGGATATGTCCTACATTTTCTTCCTAGGTTGACTGAGCCAGTAATGGACACCTGCTTATTCCAAGGGTTATAACTCATCATCCCTCTCCAAATGTCCGCGTAGCTTATCTTAACAAAGAACAAAGGAAGACACTCAGTGGGTAGGGATAGGAGCACTCTGAGGCCCAAGAACTGGAAGACTGGATCCTCCATGCCAGAACACAGAATGCTGCCATCTAGGGGACTGGGGATATTCTCAAGGAGTGGGACTTTGGGAGAAGTGATGGGAATGTGGGAAAAGGAGCCTGGTGGCTTCTGAGCCCAGCTAGCAGCACGGTCTCTGTGTGTGCGCATGTGTGAGCTCTTGATGTCCCCGCAGGCACCCTCTTTTCCCGCTCCTGACGCTGCTGTTTGAGAAATGTGAACAGGCCACCCAGGGCTCTGAGTGCATCACCTCCGCCAGCTTTGATGTGGACATCGAGAACTTTGTCCACCAGCAGGAGCAGGAGCACAAACCCTTCTTCAGCGATGACCCAGAACTGGACAATCTGGTAAAGACCCTCCACACCCTACCCTGGCTAGAGTCTTCCTACCCTCTGATCCCCTCCAAATGTCCTAGAAATTAATCCTTCATTAATTTATTCAACAAAAAGTGTTGAGTGCCCACCAGGGACCAGCTACTAGATGCACCATTCTAGCAGCCAAGAACCATTTCTAAGTTCCTTAGAGCAAGAGTTCCCTACACAGGAACTTTGCTGCCAGTGTTCACCCTGGCTATTCCCATGGCAGCACCAGCATCTTACTCCCCGCTCTCCTGAAGTGCAGACAGGATAAAAGGATGGTCATAGCAGCCAGAATGTCTGGGGTAGCTGCTCTGAGGCCTGGAGTCTGGCATGTTAGCAAATTTGTCTTGGGCTGCCCAGAGAGGAGCTTATGGTTGACATGCTACCGTGTGGAGGGTGAGGGTAGCAGGCATGTCCAAGCATATTCAGTAGAGAGAAAGAGCTGATGTAGTCCTGTTGAGAAGACCAGCAGCGGAATGGTTTAGACACAGTAGGGTCTGGAAAACACAACAGATCAGACTTCCAAATCCAATTTATCATCCAGGTTATCACTACCATTTTATAAAATATGTATTTCTGGGCCACACCACCAGGAAACTGTGATTCAGTAAGTTCAGTGGGAGCCTGTGAATTTACATTTTGGGATTTCTGGGCAGTTGCAATCATCAGTTAGGTGTGGTAAGCACTGGGTTGGATGACATCTGCAACCTCATCCAGGCCTGAGAATTCTGCTGAGAGAGAGAAATAGAGAGGTACTCTGTTCGTTTATCATTCTAACTAGTCATCCCGGAATTATTAACCACGATTCTTGATTTTTCTCTGGGTGGATTACCCAGATTATACACGGTGAACTTGGAAGCTCTGGAAAACTCTCCTACAAATTGATTGATTACAGTACTGACACAGTTTAGCTGGTACCTGCTCCTAAAAGGGAAACAGAATTAGAAAAGCAAAAGGAAGGGGGAAAGTGCACATGCGTACACATGAGTGCATCTGCAGGACAGATGTAAATGGCTTTGGTATTATTCTGTGCATGAATTATCCACACCACTGCTTCTCTCAAGAGCTGAATATGGTTTGTTATGGTATCCAGAAATGCAGCCAGGAGAGCCCACCCTGGTCTGGAAATTTGTGAAGTGTCATGATGTGGCCGGCGTTTGGAGAGCAGAGCAGGCCTTGGACAGAGGATAAGCATGTGCCTGCTATCAGGAGTGTTAGTGGAGGCATCCAAAAGGTCCAAAGCTGCCTCTGCTCATCCCTGGGCCTTCCTCTCCCTGTCTGGGAGTGAGGAGCCTTCTTCCTAGATCAAGCCACTGTCTCTCGGGTCCCCTGGGAAGGCTTCCTCGTGCAGGTTCTCCAGTTGGTCGAATATCAAGTGCAAACTGGTCTGGCCCTGCCCTGCTCTTAGACTAATCAGAATCACAGACTGCAGTTGGGAAGCAAGTCCTTAGAACCAGACCCACAGCAACAAGGAAACCAGGAGATGGGAGATAGAGCAGCCATTTCTCCAGGAACTGGAATAGATTTAGGGACCAGAGCCCATTTCCCTCACTTGGCACAAAAAGAAACTGAGGCCTAAGTTGGTAAGGAAATAACCTAAAATTAGACTGAGCAATGTGAAAGAATTTAAACCTCCGTAAGAGGTAGGGAGTCCTGGGGAAACAAACCTCACATACCTTACCTGCCAGGTAAGCTCTTGAAGACCCACCGATGATAGCCTCGCATCCTAGCACAGCCTGGAAAACACCCAGGTAGCTAGTTCCATGGCCTCCCCTGGTTAGCACTGCCTGGCTCTCTCACAGTTTTATTCATTCAAAGAGTCAATTTTTGAAAAACAATCCGACAGACCTTGGTGAGTGTCTGCTATGTGTCAGACCTGACTTAGGGACATGGATGTTATAGAAGTTGTCCTCGTGGCCCCAGACCATTGGCACTCCCTGGCCTTCTATCTCCAGTGACTAGGCTCAGAGTGTCCAGCTGATGGAGCAATACTTGGACATTCTACCTACTCACATGAACCTGATTTACTTAGATGAGTTAACCACAGTCAATAACTAGTTGATTATATAAATGGAGAGATTTGAACCTTGCTTCACTGCTTACTGTCTGGGTGACTTTGGTGACTCAACTCCTTTGAAGCTCAGTTTCCTCATCTGTAAGTCTAATACACCTATCAAATGTGATTCTAATACAAAATTAATGAGATAGTACATGGAAATGGCCTTTACAAATACTTGGCATTCAGAAGGTTAATCTCACACGCAGTGTCTCCGTGGCAAGATGTTCCATCTCCCCAACCTCCCGCCTGGCCACCCAAGAGACTGTGGCCAGTACCCTAAAACTTTATTTGGGGAGTCAAGCAGTGCCCTCTGCCACCCCCACTCCTGATCCTGTGTCATAAGGGGTAGAGATAAAGAGGCCAACCACAGGAACCATCATTAGAACAGGAATCATGTAGCCAGCACAGCCGAGATGCACATAATTAGAAATTAGAAAAAGGTCAGATCGCGTCATTATCAGCTCAATCAGCTGCCGAGTGCCACAGCCAGTTAATTTGGCATCTGTATTTTTTACAACCCCGCACACGTAGCCCAACGGACTGTAACTCTTTATCCGGACAGATATACTGCGCAGCCGAGCAGGGACATAAAATGAGAGACCCCAAGCAAATGAGCTGAGATAATTGAGAGATTTATTTTTTATATATATGTGTGTCAGGGCGGCTTTCCTTTGCCCTTGAATATTGACTTTCATAGGTGGGATTGTCAGGAGGGCACTTAGGTCCCCCAAAACTTTGCCCCTCAGAGGTTCCCCTTCCCCCAGGGCCCTGGAGCCCCACCCTGGTCCTGCTTTCTCCCTATTCCAACAAACCCATGTTCTTCAGCCCCGCCAGGCCCCACTGGTGCTCAAATCCTCCCCATCTTCAGCTGGTGGCCCTCCTTTCCCCCAAGCAAGTTGCCCTATATCACCTCCCACGCACCCCACCATTCCCAGAGCTGCTCCAAAGATCAAAAAGGTTTCCAGATTGCAGATTCCAGAGAGAACTTCCCTCCCATAATTAGCCAGCTGCTCCCACAACACCTCTACAGGAGGAGAAACAGAATCAAAAAACACTGGGTGGGGTGGGGGAGACCTGGGCACTGTGGCTCATGCCTGTAATCCCAGCACTTTGGGAGGCCAAGGCAGGAGGATTGCTTGAGCCCAGGAGTCTGAGACCAGCCTAGACAATACAGGAAGACCTCATCTCTCCAAAAATTAAAAAATTAAATTAGCCTGGCTGGTGTTACACACCTGTCATTCTAGCTACTGGGGAAGCTGAGGAAGAAGGTATCGCCTGAACCCAGGAAGTCTAGGCTGTGGTGAGCTGTGATTGTGCCACTGGGCAACAGAGTAAAAAAAAAACTACTCAAAAAAAAAAAAATCTTATCAAAAAAAAACAAAATGGATGGCCCGGTGTGGTGGCTCACACCTATAATCCCAGCACTTTGGGAGGCCGAGGTGAGAGGATTGTGTGAGCCCATGAATTCAAGACCAGCCTGGGCAACATGGTGAGACCTCATCTTTACAATAAATCAAAAATTAGCCAAGTGTGGTGGCGCATGTCTGTAGTTCCAGCTACTTGGAAGGCTGAGGTGGAAGGATCGCCTGAGCCCAGCAGGTCGAGGCGGTGGTGGCCGTGAGCATGCCACTGCACTCTAGTCTGGGTGACAGAGTGAGACTCCAACTGAAAAAAAAAAATAGGGAAAAGCACAACCCTAGGAAGAAGCAATTCCTACCCTTGCCCTGCCCCCCGCCCCAGCTTTATAGCAAGAATGTAAGTCCAGAAAATAAAGTGACTTGCCAGGACCGGAACCCAGGTCTGTTGACTCCTGGTCTTGTGCTCTTTCCACTACATCACTCCGCCACTCTCTCTCTAGAGGCAATAAAGCCCTCATTTATAAATAAAATAGTACCCCCAATATCTCTTCCACTGGTGCCCACACTCTGACCTGCTCTACCTCCCTATTTCCATGCAATGAACGTGGTTTTCTGCCCTCCTGGGCCAAGCTGGAATGCTAGCTCCCCTGGGAAAGGTTGGCTTCATCCTTTACTCCCTGTATTACAATTCCCACAGCGACTGGGGTTTCCCAGGTCAATTTCTTGGCTGGGTCTGTGGATCCCCCTCTTGGGCCCAGAAGCCTCTGACTGGCAGTTGGTAAAGTTTGTAAAATTTGCAAGTTCCCCAAACCCCTTTGAAAGGGAAAAGCTTTTTGTTTTATAAAATCTGATTTACGGGCCCCCGGTGCAGGGCCAAGGTTTTATATATTATGCAAGATTTCAAACTGAGGCTGTAAAACGTACGGTTTCAGTTTCATGCATGGAATTTTTTTATGTGTAAATTTTTTAACATTTATGGGGCACGTTTTAATGAGACTCTGGTGTGGCTCGAGGGACAGATTACGGCTGCCTGACCGCAAAGCCAGCTCTAAAATGGGGCCCCCCCAGACCCCTGGGCCCACTCTGAAGAAGCAGGGCCAGAGGCCAGAGGCTGTGAATAAGGAGGCACATGAAGGAATCAGGCCAGCGCTCAGGGACCTCAGAGACCTGGGCCAGCCCCATTCAGACAGTCATTCACTTCAGCCTTCAGTCCAGACTCTCATTGCCAAGATAGGAGCAGCAAATCTCACAGACACCAAGAAAAGGAAAAGAAATAAGAATAATAAATGCTAGTAATAATTAACATTTATAGAGCACTTACCAGGTGCCAGGTACTGTTCTAACCACTTTACATATATTATTTTATTTAGTCCTCTTTCCAAACTCACAAGACACTATTATTATTATTATCCCCATTTTAAGATGAGGCAATTGAGACAAGAGGTGAAGTCACTTGCACAAGATTGTGCAGCTGGTCCGCAGCCCAGGCAGGAATCTAACACAGTACAGCAGCTCCAATGGCCACTCCCAGAGCAGTCATACCGCCCTATAGCTAATCTCTTCTTTGAACT